TCTAACAAATTCAATTAACTGATTTTGGAAAAATACATCAAATAATACTCTGGAAAATTGACATTTCATCAAATATAACTTAGATACAACATGGCAGAAGCACCGAGGCAGAATCAAATTCTAATGATAATTTCAATTTCAACATCAATGGTAATGTTTATTACATGAGGTATGTGTCAATTTTTAATTGTTGATTATGCTGATATATGATTTCCTACAGCTAGGTCTAGGCAATATTGGGCAACATAGATCTTGGCCCAATGTCCAAAGGCTGATATGAGGTTCCCTGAATGTCTATATCCACTTATGTTTATTTCTTGATTTTTGAGAATTTGGATCATAAAATACAGTCAGACTCTTGAGAGTTTTTAGATAAATATTCAATGGTGGGGTAACATTTTCTACTGCAGTCAGAGACTCTCTTTATAGTTATAGCATACAGCATGGGAGCTATTAAATCACACCACAAACATTTATAACGCTGCTTTGTAGCATTACTTGCTTACTGTATATACTAGTTATAATTAATAAGCAATTTTATTAAGGGACCAATGAATATATTAAAGTGAGTTTAACCAAATCAGTTATATTTAGATTTGACTCTATCTCTCCCATCTAATATTTAACTGAATTTGAAATTAGAAAAAATATCATCAAGTAAAGGAAATTATCTTATACACTCCAAATACCAAAATGAATGTATTAGAGTTGTTTGATATGACCCCTAACAATATTTAGATCTAGTTAGTAAAACATGGTATATTTCACATAAGAGGATGTGGAGAGGGAGACTCGGGGAAATAGGAGACCGATGAGTTTTAACTCAGATATATAATTTTTGTTAATATCAAATATTTACATGTATTTTAATCCTACGTTTTATAATATACAGGCTCTAGATCAGTTATTGACCAATATTTGTAGAATATGCTTAAATTGCTTTATTAAGACAATCTTAGAGAACTAATACAGTTATATCATCCCCTGCTGTTAACATTATTGAGGAAATTCGATAACTAAGAAGAGCTCATTTATTTGTGAATATATCTGAGACCAGAGAAAGTTGCAATTTTTTTGCAAAACGTTGCGGGAGGGGTATGCAAAAGTTGCGATCCAAAAATAACAAAAGTTGTGGCATATAAAAACCCTATAATCGGGGGGCTCTTTCATTAACAGTCACCAAAAATTGCTTCATATTCATATTGATGTCCATAATCTAGAATATTGTAACATGTACACAGTAAAGTTGATTACTTAGCAATTTTTTCAATAATACCTGGTAATGTAAATTAGTACATGCTATGTCATAAATCACCAAAGCGATGTTGTGAAACCAGAATAAAACGGCCAATTCTCAATAAGAGACTGTACTGAAAATTGCGGGAAGTTGTCGTGCCCTCAACAATGCAACTTTCTCTGGTGTATTGTGTTTTTGTTGATTCGAAATCTGCAATTCCAAACCTGCATGCAGCAATTCCAGTTATTAGCCCAGAAGTTCAAAAGTCAAATGTCACTCCGATATCAACCTTTGGTTTTGTGTAATAATTCTCAATCGTTACTAAAAATCCTGCTTTGATAATTATAGTTTTTTAATTAGAGAATCTGATGTGAACGTGGACAGTCTCCGCATTCGATTTGGTAGCTGGAAACAGTGAACTTGAACAATATACATATTGTGTAAGATCATGTAAGCTTTGTATGGAAATCATAAAATTTTGATGTTTTTTCGGATCGGATGTAGGCTGCCATTGAGCCACTTTATAGATGGCCAATCCCTAGTGCCAGATCTTACAATGGACGTTTATCACCCTCTTTATGGTTGAATGAGAACATAAAACTGATATTGGATCCTATTAACTGTAGTTTCAGTTAACCCCACTGACTATACAGGTTTGATAAAAATAAATCATATTTTTTAATTCTCATTTACCCGTTTGCATATTGACAATTGATTAAGTGAATGAATGACATACAAGTTCTTTACATTGGGGGTTATGCTTCAGTGCCTTCATATGGTGATATTCTGTTATATTTTACTAGTTCTTTATAGCAGTAGTAATAAAACACATAGTGGATGAGGTGATAGACATGTTTATGTTATACAGTACTATCATCCAAACAGCATCATGGGAATAACAAAACATAGGTGTATAATGTCTTATTTACTAAGTATCAGGTAACACAATTTTTCTTAGCTTGTTTTTTACCAACTAGCTTATTTTAGGAATTTTTCACTTTTCATATTTGAATCATAATTTCCAGTAATTTAGCAAGAAAAAGCGAGTTAATTATTATTACATACATTTAGTTCATTATTACTAAATATACAGGTATCTGCTATAATTGAAGTTTGGGATGACTATTATACAGGCACGGTATATTTAAGTAGTAAACAGGCTCCTGGCTATACTTAAATATATCAAGATTAATGAGTTGCTGGTCACTAAGTATGCAACATTCTCAACATTTATTTCAACCTACATCATTTAGTATTCCTTTCCTGGGAAAAATGAGATTACACTTCCAGTGACAAAAAGTCCAGGAAAGAAATGCAGTGTGGTTAAAGTGGTTTGACATGGGAAACAAAATGTTAGTTTTGTCTTGAGAGGTGTGAAAATGGGGGACTATTAATCACAACCCGGAATAGAAGTTAATGATTCATAAGGTTTATCTCACTGTTGATAGATAGTGCTATAGGCAGTTTACCAACTTTCACTGTAACCTCTACCAATGAAATACCCTGCGTGCAGAGTCTAGTTAAACTACACTCTGCCTAGTAGAGACCATATTACAGTTAAGTAGCCCCGCCCCCAGGACGGGTACCGGTGACAGTTTGGGTAGTAAATCACTTCTGACCTACGTGCTGACCTTTCTTCCACCAATCAGCGAGCTTGAAGAAACATACGCCAAATGCGTTCTAATTAAATATGCGTATGTCATTGGTCAATCCCGGGCTCAACGATGACGTCAGAAGGAATGCCCATATATAGAACGTCGGTCAAATTTGGCCGACGAACACTGATTGGCGCGGTGAGTTCACAGGTTTATTTTAGTTTGAAAGAGTGAAGACGAAGCTTTCTTTTAAGAAGTGAAGTCAAACGAATGCAAAGGGTACCAATGAAATAGTTTTCAAAATTCTGAGGTAGGGTCAACATAGACATTGGCATGCAAATGAACATTAAATTAAATCAAAATCTTGGGATACGAGATATATCTGAGAAGTATATTTGAGAAAACCAGATGCTTCAGTATTTGTTGTAGTTATCTCATATTTGTGTGTTGGATTCTGAAGATGGATTGAATGTCTAGTTTTAGCATGATGGATACAAATGATCTAAATCAGATCTTTGGATTTAGGGCTCATGAATAAAACTTATATTTCCATAGGGCTAAGGAATTATGACATATTTCATTTATCTAATATGCAAAAATGGCGATATGATCATGCTAAAAATTGGGTAGATGGTGTCTCGGGGGATTCTAGCTAAGTATGAGGAAGACTTATAGCCTTACATTGATTGGATCATAATTGGAAGTTATATTTATGTATATTGCTTGCAGTGTCTCAATGTCCAATATAAACATATTGAAGTTCCCAAGTAGAACTTCTTATCACTAAATCTCCATTTTTTCTTGCAAAAGTGCAATAAGTTTTTCTCCATTTTAAAAGTTACTATGGCGCTGTAATTTATCTAACATGCAATCAAAATTGCTTGAAAATTCACCTCTGATCTGATATAGAGATGTAATATTTTGTAAGAATTGTATTCACATAGATGCATCTCCCAATTGACTTGGAGGAGCAGAGTTGGCAACGTGGCTCAATGAAGCATAAAATCAAGCTCCCTATCTGACAAACTTAATTTTGGAGACTTTGTATGATATTAGAGACAAGACAGACTATTGGAAAGTTAATTTCCTCTTAGATTGCATCCACTTCTAGTGGATCGTAAAGTAGGAAAGGAGGCTAAATATATGTCATGATTTAATGCGGCCTTCGTTTTTTAGAACATCAGCCAGTTGCACTTGGTAAGTAAGATTTATTTCACACGATTGTGTTCAGTTTGTACAAGGAAAAAAATGGTAAATGTGAGAGATGAATCACTTGGACAGTTGTTATTGTTTGTATTGCAGAGTAATATCAGATATCAACCTGCTGGGATCAATTGAAATATCTATCCTCAGACAATACTGGGAAATATAACATGATGGTTGTCACAGACAGCTTCGGGTTATGAAATTATTGAGAGTGGGAGAAGGGGTTATGTAGCAAGACTCGCTGTAACTTATATATCTTATATAGCAGGAAATGCTATAGTACGTACACTGATAATGCAATCATTGTCATTTCAAAGAAATCGGCAGTAATGTTTTTATTTATAAACAATCTTTACTTTCACTTAGATGTTACAGTTGTGTGATGTTAACTATCATGTTAAACAATGGTTTTCATGAATAATTTATCATATAATGTTCATTTGCAGCTATGTACTATACAGCTTTACAATTGACATTTACTCGTAATACATGTATTATTAATGAAGACCTTGTTACTGGGATATATAAGAAACTAGACAATTAAATATGTTTAACCGATGACACACATTATTTTATCGAGGCCTTATCGCTTATCGCTTATGAATGGTCAAGCGTGACTTGAAAGTAGTCACACTTGGAAAAATAGCTTGCTCCATTGACTGTGTTATTTTATTGCTTTGTAACCACAGAGCCCAGTAAACAAGCTGTGTATATATACATTTACAATGTACATGTAGATGAACCTCACTTTTAAAGTTAGCAACCTCTTACATGAGGATTAGCCTGGATAAGATACTTTATACTAAAATATCCTACCATAGAATGCGTTTATATATAATATATAAACTTGATAGTAGCATGTCTTACAATATTTACACTCTGATAAGCTACATCTCATTTCTACCTCTTATACTCAACAGGAAATATATGAAAAATCAGATTTCACTTCATTTTGTGTAAATAGTGTCACAGTGCATTATAAGAATAAAAAATCATTTGATCCTGGTGAGCCATGCAGTACAATATATTATTTATATTAAATGTGAATCTACTAGTAGGTATGTAGACCTCATCACATCTCTGCAGCACGCCCCCTTTTCTTCTCACAACGTGGAGATGATATGTACAGGTTGTTGGGGGGAGGGGGTTATAAGACTATTTGACATATGATATATGGCACATATACTGGGAAATGTCATTTTTTCAATTTCGGAGCCAGGAGAGTTCATGACACATTTATTTTTTTTTGGTGTCTTGACATGAGATTATGACTTAAACAGTAAACGTTTATGGACTGCTAGTCTAAACAAGATCAAAGTGCCCCAGACATTTAGCATGTGTTTTGATATAACATAATATTCATTGTTTATGATGATCTTGGTACTACTCAATCCAAGTTGAATGGCTTTAGTGTTTTATCATCATTATTAGGTCAGTTTCCATGTTCTAGTCAAAAGCTAAAATCGATCAAAATAGAATCTATAACATAAAAGTTAGTTATTAGTTAGTTAGGATTAGTTATTTTTACCCTGATCCCGCTTCAGCATTGATGTTGGTCTACATTTTGGGGTCCAGATGCAGCATAAACTTTGTACTGGTATTAAGGTTATGTATGTTGAACACCATAGATTAGATTTGTGTTTAAAGTCACTGTGGCCTGCTACCTGCTGGATATGTCTAACTTCATGACATAACAGACATTCCCATGAAGATTCTGTGTATTCATTTTCTTCACGCCTTTGATATATTGAAAACCATTGAGATCCATGACAAACACACATGCTCAGATCTATCAATTGTATGATTTGGCTTCGACTAAGAATATTGTAATAATAGATCTGAGATTGGACATTTTTGTTCTGTGCCAAAATAGCTACTTGGCTACTTTTCAGGTAGTTATTGACTTCATCAGGTGAACCCACAGACTTGTGCATGTATAACAAGCTCTATTACCTCATCGTCGGTTCCCACGCTCAATCACTACCACTGGGGGGTATCGTGATGCAACAACACCGTGTTGTTGCATCAAGATGGCCAGACTTCCGGTGATCGATTTTCGAACGATATTTGTTTTCCCAATTTAAACCCATTTCTAGGACGAGTTGCTCAATAAACATACACATGCAGCTAGCGCATGATCTATATTTTGAAAAACTGTCGTTAGTATACATGTAGCATCATCAAGAAGCTATAATTTCGCGGTTTTAATTCCTCACTATTGATGCAACAACACCACTCTGTTTATTATCGATGATACAACAACACCAATGTGCTGATGCAAAAACGCCAATATAATGTATCATTGAACAACAAGAGAAACTGTTTATGTCCTGTTTACAGGTGTTGGTCGGGACATGAATAAAACGCGTGAGTCCGTGGTCCATGAATGAAACGTATTTTGTTTGGTTTCTTAATGTATTTGTATCTGAAAAATAAAGATTATTATACGAACATTTTCTAAATTAAATGCCCTTGATTTACCGTATGGACATTGTATACAAATAACTAAGAATATAATCATGGAAAGACAATAGATATCAGTCATTTTGTGTTGTTTGTACCTCAATTGAAATACTCATTTCTGATTGGTTGATGAGCGGACAACAATATGTACTGTTGACCGCTACTTTTGAAAAAATGTTTTTTGAATGTTGATTTTTTTTTAATTTTGAAAAAATAAGTTGTGTAAAAAATTACAAGTATTCGACGGTTTTGAGATTTTTTGCTAAAATATGATACCTTTACTTATCAAATATGTTCACTTGATATTCGATTATATATTCGTCCAATTATTATATTCTTCGGACTAACAAACAATTGTTCACCTCTCTATTCGGTCAACTGACCAAAGTGTATACCTTAACAGTAAACACTGAGAGTACTGTTGACCTAGATCTCCGGTCTCGGTCAACAGAACTTTCAAGGTTTACAGTATCGGTATACAATTTTGACAGTTGACCTCAAGAGAGGTCTACAATTGTATATTGTATATCCTTTGTTATCCCACCCAAAGTATGACGTCATTTATCAAGTTGAAGAGTTGTATACGCTGCTCAGGAGTCGTGTACGCTATCCAGGAGTTGTACATCGTTCTCAAGAGTTGTATAGGATGAGTGTTGGTTTAATGATATTGCAGTTATACAATGCTATTATATAGAGGTTATTTACTAAGAGGGATTCAATATTGATTTTATTCCGAGAGACAATATGATATGTCCCGAGGGCCCGGGGGGAATCTGGGATTACTGTACCCCTATCAGTTTACCTTTTTGGGCCCTAAATCCTATCACTTTTGTTTACCTTTTTACTTAGTCGGAGAGAACGAATCCACAGAGAGCAATACTTCTACATGTGCACCGTGCAAGATTTTCATTAAACGTGTAACTAAACCTCCCTAATAAAGTCAATTAGACGTTTTTACTACCCTTTGCATTCGTTTGACTTCACTTCTTAAAAGAGAGCTTCGTAGTTTAACTAGACTCTGCGCGCAGGGTACGTTTTTACTCGTTGGCTCTCCAAATTGGAGGAAATAAAGAATCATATCATATCATAGATGAAGCAATCATCTCATTAACATGCTTTTTGAAATGTTCTCCGATAAGCTCACGAATGTTACAGTGAAACTGTTTTAGCTATATTTTGATAAACAGTGGTAACGTACATCTACTATATCCACGATGCCCATGTCAAGCAGCGTGCCTACTTGGCACGCAGTTTGAAACTCTGACAAACTGCGCGCATATTTCAAAATTGAAGACGGGGAGGACACGACTCCCAAAAAGAGACAAAATACGAAAAATACAAGGTTAGTCTCGTTCTATAGATAGTACCATTCTGTGAAGATGAACTTAATTTACTCTTAGTACTCAATGTTTTTCCTGATGTTAACCTAGTTATCTCAATATAAGGGTCTTAAGTAACTTCTGTGCTCAAAATTTACAGTGTAAAGTTATATCTTTGTATTTTTATCGTCATATGCCGTTTATTCAGCCATTGTGTCTGTGTATGCTAGAATATATAGGATCACTCCATCTGATTAAAGCAGCATAGTTTGTGTTCAAAACGATAATACGCCATAAACGTGATTTAAACATTTTTCTTGTCAAACTGCGCGCCTATATTCACATGTATTTCCCAAACTGCGTGCCTAATATTTCCAAACTTGCCTATCCAAGCTTGTTTTGTATTATTAGAAAACGTAGGCGCCATATGTAAGGCACATATGTGTCTAATAGTAGAACCCTATAATTGAAACACTATGAGAGTCCATCCACCAAATGGTGATCTGAAAATAAAATACTTTCTTTCGTTCCCAACTTAATTGTCACTTCTATTATACATTTTGACTTTCAATATGAAAATCTCATAAAATCTGACGAGAAAGCAAAATTTCCAAAGCTATATGAAAAACACCTTTACGTGCCTCTGTAAAAATTTCAATGATAATATGTAGTTTTAATAGTGTATGCGCACAGTTTATAATTTCTGGTTAAAATAGGCGCGCAGTTTGTGGTTCATTTCTTTTTAATCTCCTGATTATCTGTTTTATCTCGAAATATTTTGAATTATACATGATAAATGCGTAAGGAATTAAATATAAAACGTGTCTAAAGTATTTGTCATTTATGTTTAAAGTGCTAGATCGATTTACGTATAAATTCCCGTTAAATCAGTGACGAAAATGCCATTAATCTGCTTATGTTTTAAAACTTAGATTCATTTGCACATACATGTAGTTTTTGCTAGTATTTGCAAGATTTGTACATTCGCCACAGAATGAACGCATTGAACAAGAAAACAATGCAGGATAAATGTCCTTAAATTACGTTTCAAAATACAGACTCCGACTTAAATGATGCAATGTTGTTAGGCACGCAGTTTGTGATCAAAACAAACTGCGCGCCTACTTAGGCGCGCAGCTTGACATGGGCACCGTGATATCTAGTTTATCACTGTTCTACAGATGGATGACAGATAATTTCCAATAGCTCGTCATGTTTACCGAGAACGAAAGATGTTTGTCCACCATTTTGAATGATACTAAATGGAGTCAGGGTCATCAAGCTATGGAACAGTGGTTTATGAAAATAGATTGGGTTACTGTAGCTTGCCATGTTAAAGGCGATTGAACTATGTTATAGAACAACGTCCATTACATTATGATATTTAAAAGTATAAATTTTGAAAATATATGTAAAGAATCTTCGCCCGCAGGACGTGTATTTTGAATGCCTTGAGAAGAACGCAAATGGGTAATGGGTAACGGTGTCGCAATCGTAGCATTTAAAAATCTGTTCCTCTCGAGATTTATGGTCTTCTGAAATTATACTATTAATTGGTGTTGCTGCATCATTGCTCAAATCTAGAGGAGTGTTGTTGCATCTTCGGTTTGGTGTTGTTGCATCAATAGTGAGGAACTAAAACCGTGAACTTATTGCTTCTTGATGATGCTACATGTATACTAATGACAATTTCTTTAAATATAGATCGTGCGCTAACTGCACGTGTATGGTTGATTGAGAAACTCGTCCTAGAAATGGGTTTAAATTGGGAAACAAAATATCGTACGAAAATCTAACACCGGAAGTCTTGCCATCTTGATGCAACAACACGGTGTTGTTGCATCACGATACCACCCAGTGACTACGTTCTATAGGTCCGAAGCTTGATTAAGCAAGATGCTATTACCTAGAATCTTGGTGAAACACTTCAAAATTTCATAGATTTTTGGAGGTGAATATAAGAAAAAATTATTGTAGAATTAAGTAGGGTTTTCTGAAGTCCTAAGCCTATTCCAAGACAGGGAGCACAAATCACTACTGGTGATAACAGGTGATTGTTCTTTGAAGGCTGATAGCAAATAATTACTTTTGCAATGTAGGTTAGTCCTGTGTATACCCTGAGTGTCAGATCCTACTTAATTACAGTCTTCATTGGTGAAGTTCTCTTAAAGATACGAATTGAAACTGATGATTTGGGTTATACTTAACAAAGGTGTATACATCTGTATAGATCTTCACCTCCTTGGAAATAGTTAGCAAGTGGCTCTCTTCTTGACTTTGACATCATAATTTAATATTGTATAGTCTGTAAATCTTCATAATTTCAGAATTATCAAATTAACTTTAGCTTTGCGGTTGCTAATTCATGTTGACTAGTTACTGTTACGTGACCAGAATTGACCAATCACAAACAATGACCATTACTGAGTAGCAAAGTGCAGAATGAGAATTACATCAGAGAGCTTTGTAATTTAAAAAACTTGAGATATTGACGTTTGATCAATAAACGTGACCTTGCCCTGTATATATAACCTTGATATTATATTGACCTTGATGACCTTGATTGACCCTTTCATGTCTTGAGCAAAGAACATAGTATATGTCAGTCAAACAGGAAATATGGAACAACTCTGTAGACTGGATCAGTGTTTAATTTGTTTTTGGCATTCACATATGGTTTTGCAATTTTACAAAACATTGATGATCCCGAGCCCTAATAACTTGATTTACATTATACATAGTCTCAATTTTGCTGTTATGAATTGCTCTGATGCTTCTTCCCCTTTGAGATTTCTTATTTTGAGTATTCTGCCTTTATTTAGGTTATCTATTGTAACCATATGGGCAGAGAAATTGTATTACAGTAATTACAAAGTCAGCTTACCCATAAAACAGATACTACCAGTTAATAGCAATTCATGTAGAGATCATGCCCCAGGGACCAAATAACCTCTGACATTATATTGTTTTGACACATTCTCAGGAAAAAAATCAGTGTCTTTATAATCAGTATTGATGAAGTTAAATCTAGGTCGATAATCATTTTCTTTACTTTGCATCATATTTTTCTATTTCCAGATGTCATGACACAAGGCTTCGCTGGGTACTAGCCGCAGCCATGAAGCGACGTACCGTCATCATCGTTGTCGTGGCAACATTCCTAATGTGGAACTGTGTGACCTATTACTTCTTAGTGAATAAACCTCAGGGACGGGTAGGTTAATCTATTATACAGCATGTTTTAAGGGTTCAGCCAATAGAGGGGGTAACTTGAGGAGAGAAATTTCTATCAAAATAATGCAAATCAAAATTCTCTTCTCAACTTTGGTAATCATTAACAAGAAGCAATTAGGATAATTCTTATTCAGTTTCTCAACTTATTAACTTTACCCAAGCATAGTACAGTGTATACATGTATTTTCAAGTCTTGTTTATTGTATATTGAATAAAAATGATATTTCTTTAGCCAAGATCTACTGTATATGTATGATAGTTCAATCTAAGTGTAGAAGGGAACCAATTCAGAACCAGAATGTGTAAATCTGATTTTTGGTCAGGGATTAAATGTGGATATATCCCCTGTTTGGTCTGTATGACATTTACTACTCATGAAATAGTACACAATATTAGAATTAAATATTTGTTTTGTTATATTACTGTCAAGCTCATGACCCTCATTATGATTTATTCATATGTAAAACTGATAATAAATGAAGTTGTACGTACAGGTTAAAACATCTGTTTACATGTCATCATTATAATGTTCATCGACACTAAACGAAATATGTGTATGTTGAAAATATCTGGGAGCGATGAAAAAGTTGGAAGTCTTTCCCCAGTTGTCAAATTTGATAAGCGTGGTCCGGGAATATTGCCTGATCTTTCGTGACATGTAACCCAATGTTGACCAATTATTCATTTACAAGTTTGACAGTGATATAGTAATATAGCGAGTGTCCCAAAAAATAGATCCAAATTTAAGGGGAATTACTCTTTTTCCTTCACTAAAAAAGCTGAACTTTGCGCGTGATAAAGAAAATTAATTTTCCAATTAGCAGTTAAAAAAGTTCATAAAAATTTGTAAAGTACAGGGTGTCATATAAATATGTTCTCCCTCTTAATTTCAAGAGTATGAACTTTTATGCATGAAAGCGCATCTACTTAAACTAGTCATCTGAAACTTCTTGTAGAGTTGCTCCATGAAGCCTAGTTTTAATGTGCTTAAGAACAATTCAGATAACTTTCAGACAAAAGGTTAAGCAACATTTTTTGGATGTTAAAGTTACAGGGGAGAACATATTTATTTGACACCCTGTAGTTACTGAGAAATTTTACATTTTACATGCTGTGCTCCTAATAACCTCCATGTTTATGATGATTAAATTGTTTTCAGATGACTAAAGGACAAGTCTCGGTTTGGGCTAATATTTATTTGATGAAAATTATCAAAATATCACCCAAATTAAATTATAAATATTCTAAAGCGGACATTTAAATCTACAAGATATAAAAATATCAAAATTGTCTGGAGCAGGCATGACATCATGCAGTAGACCGATTTTATAAATGACCAGTCTCGATTTGGAGAAAGAAGTTCATCAGTGTACTGCGCTAATAATTTTTTATGAAAATATAGAAATATCACCCAAATTAAATTATGGATATTCAAAAGAGGACATTTAAATCTACAATTTGTAAAAATATCAAAATTGTCCAAAGCAGGTGTAACGTGCAGTAGACTGATGAACTTTGTTCTCCAAACTGAGACTAGTCTTTTCAAGAATATTCCTTCAAAACCCACAGAGTAATTCTATAGTCTTGGTACAATTTATTTTAATTCGGGCACTCTGTATTATATCCTTTGGGGTGATTATTCAATCTCACTAATAGTAAGTAAATAGCCATAGTATATTATATCCTTTGGGATAATTATCCAATCCCTTTGAGTAAATAATCTTCATATTCATTTAATCACTATGTGTTTTTTCTTTATTATTTTAAATGACAGTTTAGTTTTTTTATTTTATCCACATTGGCAGTCCAACAAAAAGCCATCCATATACAACATACGAGTACCATACTCTTGATTTTCAAAACCGTATACATACACCTGAAATCTCAAATTATATTCTCTGGAGACCCAGTCAATATTTTTGATAGAAACCCCTTGATTTATTATAAAGACATTGCACTTTGTGTAATATCTTAATGTTTTATTAAGATTAAGTCAGATTCACTTTGAAGCTGGACCTATGGTGCTTATACAGGGCAGCTGAATAAGGAAGAAGAAATTGAATATAGAGATTTCTTTTGATGGTTCTGTTTGGCTCCAGTATGGAAGTAATTGGCTAATTAAATAAATTGGGCTGTTTCAGCTTATAGCAGCATTGATGGAATTGTCTACAATGCCTATCATAGCTTCAATCTTCTGATGGTGAAAAGGTCATTCTGCGTCTAAGGAATTCAAAGATTCATTAGCTGAGGCTGCTTTTAATGCTATATCATACCGTATTCTCTCTTATAGACACATACATACATGTACTTCAATAAATACACACCCTACTCAATATTTCATGAAGAACCTTAGCGATATTGATTGTCAAAAATCAAGAATAAAAAATCTATGAAAATTATGTGGGTGATAATTGGTTTAATTCCCTTACCCTCATGAATTGATCAGTGTCAGTGCACATTATGGTACAGACCAGTTCATAGGTAGTAAGCTAGCACCCAAAAATGTATTAGTTCGTGAACAAATTGAAATTACTTGTTTCTTATGTATTTTTATGTGATGCTTCAGAATTTTTTTGTCTGACGCGCCATATCAGGGGCGAAAATTGTCAAAATGGGGTTTTCGACCCTAAAATGGAAAATTACTGGGGGTACTTTATCATCGCTCGATAAATCATTCTGTTAGTCTTCAATCATCATAATAATTTTATGGGGAGTTGATTGGATCATGCTGAGGTAGTATGTAAAATTCCAATGCTCTGTCACTCATGGTTGTCATGGAAACCACAATTTTCGTTCAAAATATCCTTAATTTTGCAAAACCTGAACATGTACATCATGTAGAATATAGATTATTTTTCGAATCAATACATATCAGCACATTTTAGCACACTCAAAATAACCAGTACAGTTCAAACATTTGTTTAAATATAAAAGATATTGCAATTTACATGATTGGTCAGTGTCAAAGAACATACAATTACATGAGTGATCAAAAGTGGGCGTCGCCCCCATAATAGTAGATGATTGCTATACTCTATAAAAACAGAGTTCAACTTGACTTTTGAGATACATTTACACTAGACTTATTTGATTATATTTTATATCAAGCATTTCTGGTAAATAATGTACATCTAAGTGTTATAGTTATTGCATTGGGGGGGGGGGGGTTGGAGGGGGGGGGGCTAGTAAAAGAATTGGGAGGAGGCAGAGCTAATCAGCCTTAAGTATAAATTTTATCTACATATATCTGGATTTCATGGGGTACATCTTCTGCATGGGTCTTCTTCATATTCATCTCAGTTTATGGGATATTACAACTTACATGATTGGTCAGTGTCAAAGAACATACAATTACACAAGTAATCAAAAGTGGGCGTCGCCCCCATACTAGAGTAGATGATTGCTATTCTCTATAAAAACAGAGTTAAACTTGACTTGAGATACATTTACATTGGACTGGTTATTGCATGAGGAGGGGTGAGGTTAGTAACAGAATTGGGAGGGGGCAGAGTTAATCAGCCTTAGGAATACTAATAAATTCTTTCTTTTGGACTTCTTCATAGAGTATTTTCTGGGTCTTCTTAGTTACATGTATCTCAATATACTGTATATAGTTATTGTATGGGAGGGGGGTAGTAACAGAATTTGGAGGTGTGGGGGGAACAAGTCAGCATTAAGTATCAATTTCATCTTCAGAGTTCTGGATTTCATAAGATACATCTTCTGGAGTCTTTCTGATTCATCTCCTGGTGCTATATCAACAATCATTTGTCTGAGAATACCAGTCAATACCCAATGCAATGGTGGAGTTATTCAGTTTCCATCCATGTCCATCTTCTGCTGGAATGTCAGGGTTTACAATATGGGCCATATGCATGATAAGTGCTTTGTAGTAAGCTCTTGACAAGGTGGAAGAAGACTGATGTCGGTTCCTTCATAGTCTTTGATTGTTTTATGGGGTCTAAACTTCTATTTCAATTGGTTTATGTGGTTTTGCTGGTGTAAGACATTGTGGCTTAACATAAATGTGTTTTTTTTATCATATTAATCAGTCTTCTTTTGTGTGTCCAGCACTACACTTTGCTGTATTCTGCGCTTATCCTAACACATTGATTGAAGGACTTATAAATGAAAGATATGTAGTCTTTAAAATGCATATGAGAGATGGATTGAATATGTGTTTATTCCTTGTGACAATATTACTCTCTGGGCCCATATCGGCCCTAAGGAAATATCACACTAAATTTCATGGATTCTCTGATGGGTTGTTTTGTTTCTGGAGCTGGCAGAAAATACATGTTTTTCAAGATACTTCTTACAGCAGAGTGATTATGTGATAATTAAATCCAAAATTCTATAAACGAACCTGATAGGAGAAGTGGGTGGTGGCACATCACCTTATCAAATGTAGAAATACATGAGTCCCTTAAGATTGGAATGAGTTCATGAATAAGGATGCAAACAAGAAGCAACTATACCAGTTACACTTAATTGAATAAGACCAGAATATGCCAAGAAAAAATCTACTGTGTAGCAGGTGGGAAATGCCATATCCTTTCTAGTGATCATCATGATAAACCATGAAATTTTATTTCTTCCCAGCCCTTCAGGTGAGACAGAAAGATGCTATGAGTATCAGAATGTCTAGTCATGGCAATACAACAACAACTATAAATGAGCCTTCTCATAGTCTGATCATTTTCATTCTTGTGATTTATCGCATGAAGGTATGAAGGCTGCATATATTATGCCAGGCCCTAGATGGGAGTAGTAACAGAATAATTGGGAGGGAGTAGAGCTCCCTCCTAGGTCTGAAACCACTTCCCCACCCTCACCTCATGTAAAAACTATACTACTAAACATATTTATGAGAAATGGTTTATATAAATTATATTTGAACATGACTGTATTCACGCCTTCTATAAACTGTGAACAAAGTCAACATTTTACCCGGGGTATATACATGTATATGTCAACACT